TACTACCTTATACAGAGTGCCTAAAAATTTATTTTAAATAATTACTAGCTTTAAACGGCAATAACTTCTTTAAATTAAACAGAACACCCTGTATATTTTATGAGAATCAGATGCACAATTTAATTGTCTGTGAAATTGTATTATACTATTTTTTACCTATCTCTTCAAGTTTCCGTAGAAAATGCATTTTCTTGTAATTTAGAACTCATATATCAATATACCCATGGAATACTGACATTTTAGATTATTTTTAAAGATGTACCAAATTTTTAAAGAGTCCAGATACTAATATTGTCGATATAAGAAAATCAATATACCCATGGAATACTGACATTTTAGATTATTTTTAAAGATGTACCAAATTTTTAAAGAGTCCAGATACTAATATTGTCGATATAGTTCGTTTATTTCATTAAAAAATAAAAAAAAAACTGTTTAAATATTTGTTAAAGAGGAGTCCAGTATTCAAACTACATTAATTGACTGTTTGCGTTGATTAATAATAATTGCTCCAAACAGAAGTGTTTACAAAAAATAACTAGTTTATTTTGTAGATTTTCTTGCAGTGGTGAAATGCCCATATAGGATTTTTTAGAGAGATGAATCCGCCACATAGATAGACACTTTTTATTACTAACATCGACAGAATCATGACCTTGTTGAATTGGAAATACATTACTAACATCTACAAATTTATTAGCAATACATTTATTTTTGTTAGATTGTATTAAAAAAGCCTCTTTTATTTTTCTTTTAGAGGCTATCGCTTCTCTCATTATAATTTTAGCGTTATTAAAATTTATTCTGCGCCCTGGTCGCATGAATGCTGACAAATTTTAGATTTGTGAAAATCTCCTTTTCTTAAATAATCATTATATTATTATGTTCTTTAATTCGAACATTTAAGTTTTTTTATATTCAGACGACATTTTACTAAACAGAGATATAAACCACATAAAAAATACATTAATAAAAAACGACTATCCACCATATTTTATTGACAAAACATTAAACGAAATACAAACCCCAAATCATAGTCACAATGATAACAGTACACAATATATATATAACTTACAATTCCATACATACCAGGCGTTTCGAAAAAAATAAGAGGGATAGGAAAACAATATAACATACGAACATCTTTCAAAACATTTTTATTCTTTGTATTTTTTTGCTTCCGACGACGGAAAGAGATAAACTTTCCGAAACGTTAAGCATTTTTTGTTTGTTAGCCAAATTTGTATATCTGTAAACCTAGATTAAAGTAGATTCCGTTTGGATTAACGCAGCAGTGTTTACAAAAAATAAAATATTTTATTTTGTAGATTTTCTTGCAGTGGCGAAATACCCATATAAGATTTTTTTGGAAATCTGGAATAAAAGATACATAATAATATTTTTTAAAAATTTAATTTAAATTTGATATAAATATGCATTTATAATATTGAAGTAGTCTGGTAAGCTTCGAAGCTTTACAGTCATATATAATTCAGTTTTTAATAAAGCATACAATTAGTGAAAAAACAATTTATATCATTTTATAAATTCATTCCAACTGTATTAATGAAAGCATTTCGTATATTTCGCATAATAGAATAAATTAAATTAAATTCTATTATTTTAATATGTCGTGCAATTTCCAAAATAAATATGAATTTAAAATGCACGAGAATGGAAAGGTTTTTGTTCAAACTCGCTTGTTACAGAGTGCTTTAGATTAATTAGAGGAAATTTTAATATAACAAAATTAATAAATATTTCATTAATATAAATACATTTTATTTATTTCTGTAACATCACTATACTCTGCATAGATGTTTTAAATAATATATTCTATTATTGTAATTTAGTTTTGAAAGTTTAAGATGAATAGAATTTTTAACATTTATATTTAAATTTTAAATAATTGGATATACCGGGTATTTCTCGAAATAGGTGACCTTTATAGTTTTTATTATTTTTCATTAAAACGAGATTTCGTATATTCGTATATGACATAAATAGGGATTGAATGACGTATTCAGTTAGTGTTCGCACACAAAGAAAGCTAGTTAATCAGCGCTAGAAACCACAATATGCACACCCAGAACAGACAACAAGCGACCAAGAATTAAAAATTCATTGCGGTAAAAAGTCGGCACCGATTTACGCTGGCAAAATGCTCCGATAAGTTTTTTCCGGTGCGGGTGTGTTTAAAAGCGCATTTAATCGGCGCTGGTAATAGGCGCTTATTAACCAGCTTTCCTTGTGTCCGTACCTTTAGTTACGATCACTTCCTACGGAAACGACTACGACTTTTAATGTTTAAATGGTGCCATAGTTTTTTTTACTTTTTTTGATAAAATAACATACTATATGTCAACTTTAGACATTATTAATTATAAACGAATAAATTTAGACATTATTAATTAGTTAATTAAAAAAATAGTATTTCAATATACAGGGTTTGGAAATTATAAGTTTTGGGTTCGTCGAAGGACTATTAGAGCTACAATTTAAGCATTTTTTTTATTTTGTTCCAAATAAATAAAAATATCAAAGTTGTATTTTTTAAATGGAACACCCTGTATATTATTATATTTTTAGTTTCTACGATTAAAATAAAGGTAAATTTGATTAAGGTTTACCGCATTTTAATCTTACCGTTTTTGAAATATTTAAGTTTATGTCAAAATACAGTAATAATTTTAGTGCCTCATTTCTCTAGGCGTAGGTATTTAAGTTTTTAAAACCAAATATTGTACTGAAGTATTTCTGTTTACTTAATTTTGTGTTGCAATAATAAAAATTATAATACCTTATACAGAGGTCTAAAAATTTATTTTAAATAATTACCAATTTTAACCGGCAATAACTTGTTTAATTGACACGCTGTATATTTTAGGAGAATCAGATACACAATTTAATTGTCTATCAAATTGTATTATACCATTTTTACCTACGTCTTCAACGTTTCGTAGAAAATGCATTTTCTTATAATTTAGACCTCATTTATCAATATACCCATGGAATATTGACATTTTAGATTATTTTTAAAGATGTAATAAATTTTTAAAGAGTACAGAAACTAACATTGTCGATATAGTTCGTTTATTTTATTATCAAAATAAAAAAAAATGTTTAAATATTTGTTAAAGACGACCAATTAATATGATTCCAGTATTCAAACTACAATAATTGACTCTTTGCGTTGATTAATAATAATTGCTACAAATACTAAAAAACTGAATTTTGTATGTTTATGAGACAGTGTGGTAAAAAATAACACCTCAAAAATTTTATTGAAGTTTTTGACGAATGCTTATTTATAAAAACAGAGACGTTCATTTTATTATATTGATTTCTGATTCAAATCCACATTTATTTAGTATAAATTATTAACTAACACAATTAAGTATGTAATTAATTAATATTAGGGCGGAAATAATGGTGGTATATTTAGTTAATGGTATACTCTTAAATAGTGTTCCTTTTGTATACAAATGGCTAGTAATATTACCGTTTTTAGCACCTGTACATTTTGTACATTATTTGTTGTTTTAAAAACAATCAAAAATATCAATATTCCATGGATGGGTAATATTAATAAGTATATTGATAAGTATATTGATAAGTATATTGATAAATGAGGTCTAAATTATAAAATAATACATTTTCTACGAAAACTTGGAGGGATAGGTAAAAATGGTAGAAAATAATTTGATAGACAATTAAATTGTGCATCTGATTCTCCTAAAATATACAGGGTGTTCCATTTAAATTAAACAAGTTATTGCCGTTTAAAGGTAGAAATTATTTGAAATAAATTTTAGACACTGTATGAGGTAGTATTATTTTTATTATTGCAACACATTAACTGATCTATAAATAAATTTCAGTAAATATTTAGCATTAAAAACTTTGATACCCTTGGAGAAATGAAGCCTTAAAATTTTTACGGCAATTTCACAAAATTGAAAATATTTCAAAAACGGTATGGTTTAAGTATGATAAACCTCGTGGAAACTAAAAATTTAATAATATACAGGGTGTTCCACTTAAAAAATACAACCTTGGTAATCTGCATCTTGTAAAAATATTTTTAAATTGTAGCTCTAATAGTCCTTCAACAAACCCAAAGCTTACAATTTGTAAAAATCTAATCGTTTAGCTACAATACTCCGTGCCGTATCTGGTAAACAATCCTGTATATTACTATATTATAAATTATTTATTAATTAAAAAAATTGTAATTTAAAATACAATCTTGAGTACCATGACTGTATTAAAATCACTAATTTTTATTCAGGGAGCCTTGGAAAAATATATTTGATAGTCCAATGTTTTTCGTGTCTCTTCCAGGCCGCTTAAAGGATACCCAAATCATATTCTTAGTGATAACTCAATTTTTTCAAATGGAACAAAGATAGCCCATTAACATATTTGGAAAGAGCATTTTTTACGAATAATTTGGTACCACACACTTTGTATTATGATTTGAATTGTCATTACATTTCTTGTCGTGGCACTCTAGAACGACATTTAAAAAGCTTTAATCAAAAATGTCAAAAGTTGACGTAATATGATATGTCATTCTATTCATAATCTTAATATATCAAACGAAGTAAAAAATACGTACTATATCATTTAAAACTCTAAAGTTATAGTCATATCCATTGAAACATGAAGTGCCTTAAACTATCTGAATACGTCAGCCATCCCGAATTATGTCATATACTAACACACCAAATGTAATTTTTTATCTAAAAAAATAAGTGAGTCACTTTAGAGAAACACGCCGTATTAATATACATACATTCGTTCGTTGGTCTTTTTGATTAAAACAGTTATTTCTACAGGAGCAACGGATATTAATTAGTTTGTTTGGAAATAAACATTTCATGTTAGGTATACTTGCTGGATATGTACGATGTTGCATATATACTATGTTATATTTGTTATATTAATGACAGAAGGCGATTACATATGATGCTTAATATAATTTCTTTGACTTTCAGCTGTAACATCAGCTGGAGCAGGCTTAAAATGGGTGCGAGTGAACGTACCGCAGTACAGAGTACCTGGTGAGGTTGCTCAATTGCAGTGTGATTACGACTTGGGAAATGACACACTGTATTCGGTGAAGTGGTACAAGGAGCACGAAGAATTCTACAGGTTTGTGCCAAAAGCATTACCACCTGCTAATTCGTATAAAGTGGATGGAGTACATGTAGACGTAAGTTAAAAATATTATCATTGCTTAATTAGAAATATATAATATTAGGATACATTAAAGAATTTAGTAGTATAGGGTTATGGATTATTTTCGGCATAAATTTGTTCCATTCTTTTCTAGTGAGTATATTTATCTGAACAGTTTAGTTTTAAAGGAATATAAATATAATTTTTGGGACGTCATTGACAATATAAAAAGGTCATTTTAACGCTTAGGCATAAAAGTAAACCAGTTTTACGTCTAAGCATAAAACTACACAAATATATTATTAAACTGACAAAACGTAAAATTCAGTTCACAGTTTCTCGTTGTATAATTACTTATGCCTAATTGTGCCTTTTAGTTCCTTTTTATACAAAACGATAAAATTGTATTTTAACGTCGACCGAAAAGATTAATTCACGAGCGATGAAATAGCGAGTGAATTAATTTCGGGAGACGATAATGCAATTTTATCGTCATGTATGAAACAATATTTTTTTCCATAGCGAGTTGCGTTTTAAAAAATATTCAGAAATTATTATTTCAAGGAATTTATTACGAGTAGAAAAAATATTGTGCTGAGTTGAGGTTGGTTTCTATGTAATTTGACAAATAAATAAAGCTGTCTCTTTAGTTGTCAGTTTTGAGTCAATATTTTTTAATTCTCTTTCGTGTGGATTGTTGATTGAATTGGAGCCAGAATTGGCTCAAAATGAAATAAGTAAATTACCAACAAATATTCAGGTTGAAGCGACAAACGCCATATCCAAACTACTTCCATTTAAATCCCGAATAGCTTATGAAAAGGAATACAAAAATTTTCAAAAATGGAAGCAATTAAAAAACGTGCGAGAAGAAATAAAGTGTTTAACCTAGTCTCGCTGTTAAAATATCATTTAATCTACCCTTGCGGTTAAAGTACTATTTTATCTACTATTTTTGATAGATATAAAGCAATATTAACAGTTGCTATGGAAACATTTTTTTATATTATTTAGAACGTTTGAGATTGTTTAAAAATTATTTGTGGCGTTTACTTAAAAATAGCATGCTCTATGCAGAGTAAAAATGCTATTCTCCTTTAAAGTTTATGCTATTTATAAATATCTTTCTTTCGTTTATTAGTAAGCTATGATTACTTTATTTCCTTTTATTGTAATCGTTATTTTTCTTTAGAAACAATGTAAAGAAAAAGAAACAATGTAAAGAAAAAGTTATTTTTAACAGGAAATCCATTACTATTTCGTTTATATGGAATATTTTTAGTTCCTTGAATTTACTCATTAAATTATTTATGATTTACTATTTATGTATATCAAGATATATGATTAGAATCTATATTAAACAAACATAAAGTAATACTTTCTTTTACATTTGCTATCGAATTTGGTTATAAATGTTGAACGAATGAAAAGAAACCTTATTTTTAGTTATAATAATACAATTTTATATACCGAGTGCGTCTCAAAAGTGGCTCACCCCTATATTTTTTTTAATTCAGCATCCATTTTGTTGCATTTTGATTATGGGTTATTATATCACTTCACTTAGCTAATACTGAAAAACACTTCTGCTCAAGATATTGAGATTTTATTTTACCTCTTGCAGTTGTTAATAAGCAGTGTATAAATCTCAGTTTTCAGGAGGCCACCAAACTAAACATAATAATTTTCTTCTAGCGTACAGCGTCTTTGATGATAAAATTATATAACTATACATTTCAGATTCACGGTTACGTTATAGATTGTCAAAAAAAAATGTGATATTACCTTTACTAATATTATAGATTTACTAATTTTTTATTACAAATATACAAACGTATATTATTTTAACCTCAAATTTTTTTGAAATTAATTTTCAAATAAAAAATGTTATGATAAATTGTATGCATTAGGGAGCAGAAAAAAATGCATTTATATTTTTTAAATAAAAATTATTGTCATTTTTGCATTGAATTAAATAAATTTAAAACAAAACGGTTTACCATAGTAAAGGTGTAATAAAAACAATTTTATATTTCATTGCACAAACAGCAGTAGACTAATTGTGCTTGGTATAGGATATTTCATATTTATATAGTGGCCTACGTGCTTTGGTGCAATCAAAACGGATAATAGGTTTTTTGCATCGGATTTTTCCTTCACATGATTCTAAAAACCGCTAATTTCATATTTTATTTTTTCAAAATGGCATAATATAACAATGAAGAGTTGACAGAATGATGTTTTTTTATCATTCTCAAATTAATTTTTTTTTGTGTCCTCTTTTCTAATATTATTTTATTTTTCAACTTTAAGTCCATAATTTGTGTTAGTAATGGATAGTTATAATAAGTTTGATCTTAAATTATTTCAAGTTATGTAATTTTAATTAATATTGTATAATATACCGTAATGATCTAAAAAGCACAGCAGTCATAGAAAGCTGGAAATAGCTTGGAAATTACCAATGATAATTATTTTTCTCAAGTCAACACCTAAATGTTATTTATTAAATATTGGGCAACGGTCCAGTTACGTCGAAACACCGGTTTCCATTAGAACACCGAAGTTAAGCGACGTAAGGCGATACTAGTCGATGGACGGGTGACCGTTTCGAAACTCTGTATCGTGCTATTGTCCAAAGAAAGGCAAAGTGTAAAATCTATTGACACACACTGCTCATTCACGCCGGTTCGAGGCCGGATTGGATCGGATATCTCGTGAGTAAGAGTCCATTTAGATACTTGCCAAGTCGGTAGGCCATTGACCATGATATGGCCGAGGACCGCGGTTCGAATTCCGCGTAAACAAAGTAGGCCCCGTCCAGATTAGCCCTGGCAGCAAAAAGGAGACGTTAACTGAAATATTTACTTTTTATTAAATATTAACATATCTAAAACTACAATCACGCAGGGAAACATTTATTATGTCAATTTTTTTCTCTTCTCCTTCTTCGTACATTAGAGATTAGACTGCGTCCTGTGTTTTCTTTAAGGGTTCAGATGGGATGATAAAGAATAAAGACCAGCTTTGATACCAAGTTATACGTGGTCATCCAGGCGGATGAGGTGTGTTTTGTCTTTTCTTCTTAGTAATTTTCGCTAACCGGTCATTTGGTATTCTGAAGACATGGTCTCTCCACTTTCGTCTCTTGTTTCTTGCCCATCTTACTACGTCCTATATTTCACATATTTCTTTTCTTTCTTAATTTCTCTTCTTAATTTGCTTTTGACGCTTATATATTTATTTCGCCAAATTATATTCCTTAAATATCCTGATATTAATCACGCCTTTGTTGTTTGGGCTTTTACTTCCTCGTTGAAGTTCCTAGCGCTTATAATATTTGCCCCTAGATATTTAAATGACTCACTTATTCTACAGTCCAATCATCGATCGCTAGTTTGCATCTTCTAAGATCTCTAGATTCTGTAAGGCATTTTTATGACGATCTGGCGAGAACAAAGATGAAACGGATACGAAAACGAAAAGCAACTTTACCAAGAATTGGATGTTGGAACGTAACATTAGATTTTCTTGCAGTGCAGTGGCGAAATACCCATATTTGATTTTTTTGGAGAGATGAATCCGCCACATAGGTATAGACATTTTTTAACGTAACATTATTTGACAACAAATACCAAGAAATCATACTTGAAATAATTTTGTTCTCAATTATAATATAATTTTTATATACCGTGCTGACAACTCTTACTTTTGGATCGGTATTTACATGTGTGGAAGTAAATCGAATAGGGATCTTAATAAGTCGGAGTGATAGAAATGCGACAGTGTACTGTTGCGGCGTTGCCACATTTCCCCGGTACGCCTTTCTCTAGATATAGTATGACTTTCATATATAGTCGATTTAGACACTTGCCAAGTCGGTAGGCCATTGACCATGATATGACCGAGGACCGCGGTTCGGATTCCGCGTAAACAAAGTAGGGCCCCGTCCAGAAATATTTACTTTTTACACCGTTTCCTAGAATTTTAAGTACTGATAGGGTCGACCGGTCGACCTCGACGAATCTGCTATATCCCCTTCCACGTCTATTAGCAGTATGCACAGTTTCTCGGTTTATTTCATAGATTTTGCAACGTTTTTACTGATCAGCCTTTGTTCAGTACATTATAAATGCATTGTATTCTTCTTACATACAAAAATTTCGATCCAAGACTAACATTTGCCAGCCTTTAGTATATATCAATCTTTATTATTGAATTGTGCCTATTATTATTAAAGTACTTTGAAAGATAAAAGTAAATTTAGTACTTTATTCTATACTGGATGAGTCTTAAAAATGCAAATATTTTTATTGGCACTATATTTTGCTCCCAGAAATACGCGTATGACATTTTTCGCAAAGAAAATAAGAATTTGAATTTTTTTTGAAAGAATTTTTAGATTTTTTTTTATTTTTTAGTTGAAAACTTATATAGTATTTTCATTTGGTGGTATATACATAGGTGGGATATTAAATTAACAAGAAAGAACACTGAGAAAAAATTCAGTTTCTTTCAAAATTTAAGCAAATAATCATTTTTTAAAATTTTTAAAGTAAAATAACTATTTAGGACTTATTGGAAAAACAGTAAAGAGAAAATAGGTTCCTTTTGTTGAGATCTAGCAGCTCTGAAAATATTTGCACTTATTGACTAACCCGGTAGAATATCTATAAAATTATATAAATTTTATTACATTATTGGATACTATTAAATTTTATATTATAATTTTCATAATTTATTGTTTTTATATAAATCAAACTTATTTAAATATTTATTATTCTGCGCTATTATTAATATTGATAAAACATAAAATATATTACGAGTATTGTACTTATTATATAATCAAAATATATTTAATTATATATTTAATATATGGCGAAATAACTATATAATTATTTATTTTATTGAAGGTATATTTAATACATATTTAATATATTTATTCCTCGCGTTCTTGAACATGCTAATAAATAACAGTAAATGTCAATATAAAATTATTGTTTTATAGAATATGGTTATTTCAGATATTTTATA